CATTCACATTCTAATTTCTCTCATGCATCTTTTTGAAATATTGAATTTTCTTGCATTAATTTTCTTTAATGTTTACGTATTTTGCATTTATTTATACATATTTTGTGTCTCCCAATAGCTGTATAAAATCGTTAGTGAAAGAACACATGAACTAAATAAGTTATACCGTCAGGCAGCTACCCAAGCTAATAATCATCCCATACATAAAATGCCCTTCAAAAAACCAAATTTATTTTTCTGAGACTTGTTGACATGTTAAAGGACATAGTCCATGGCTATTGCATGGTGGATGTGCCCTGAAAACTGTGAATAATAAAGTATAGGGCAATCCTATCTAATAAAAGAGAAACATGATAATTAGCCGTACATCCGCTACCCTTCCCATTGGCTAATCAGGGAGATATGCAAATTAACTGCCAGCCAAGATGGCGGCTGGCAGCCAGGCCGCTGACGCGAACATGGAGGCTTGCTTGCTTCAGTGACGGAGGAAGCCAAGCTTCCCCGCTTGCCTTGCAGGCCTCTGAGCTGCACTCTAAGAAACATTGTAACAAATATAGAAGCTAAACAAAACCCCAGAAACCTGCTTTAGTCAGCCAGGCTTCAGCCAGCAGGAACGCAATATTGTTTCAAATACAGAAGGTAAACAAAGGCCAGAAACCTGCTTTCAGCAGCCAAGGCCTCAGAGCTAAAGCTGGCCCAGAATAAAAAAAAAAAAGAAAGAAAAAAAGGAGCGGTTGGGGGCTTCAGTCACCTGCCAGCCTGAAAACGGCCTTCAGCCCCTCAGCCAGACTGGCCAGGCACCCCAGTGGGGACCCCCACCCTGATCCAGGACACCCGTCAGGGTCAGGGCAAACCAGCCAGCCCCCACCCGTGCACCAGGCCTCTATCCTATATAATAAAAGGGTAATATGCCTCCCAGCACCGGGATCAGCGGAGCAGCGAGGCCTCCCGGCACCGGGATCAGCGTGACAGGGGGCAGCGCCCAAACCCCCTGATCACCCTGCGGTTCTGTGTGTGACAGGGGGCGGGGCCACAACCTCCCTATCCGCCCT